TTTAAGAAAACAAAATCCCAGAAAGCATACCCCCACCAACTGAGCCAGCCAAAGGCTACTACCACCAGCACCCCCAATATGCCCACCACTCCCCACACCCACCCCTAGGGAGGGAGGGCAGCACTGCCCACTTTGTGAAACACTGTCTAGGCAACTCAGACATTGACAATCTTCATGGAAAAAGACAAGAGTTCAAATTATCTGTGGATCAAACTGAGAAGAAACTATACATCAAAGAAGAGTGAATTACAAAAAATGAAAGAGAGAACCAAAATAGCTTAAAACTTACCTGAACGAAAGGGGGAAGCAGTGGGTAGTTTGGGTGAGATGGGCTGACTGCATGGCCATGGGGACTAGGTGGATAAAGGGGACCAAAATGGGGGGAGCTTGGGGGCCTTTCCATCCAGAATGCTGGCACTAGAGGTGGGATGCTGCCCTGGCGGGGTCCTGTCTGCTCTGTCTCTGCCCCACCTCCTGGGAGAATCTCCCCTTGAGAAAGCCCTTTACAAAAAACGTTTATCCAATAAACTATCACTCTCAGGTATGAAAAATTCTAACTCAAATAGATCAAGACAGCTAGGCACCTGAGCAAAGACTGTTGTCCTCCTTTAGATGATTACTGGTTCCAGGCAATAAACACAGTTGTGTAGAGGACAGTCCGTCTCTCAGTTCCCGAGGCTGTGCTCCCCTGGCCCGTTTTTCTCTAGGATTTCTGCCTCTTTCCTTAATCTGCACAGCGTCCCTCCTTCAGACCTGTTCACCCAGCGTTGGGCCCTAGCATATAGTGGTGCCAGAGACTCAACTTTTGTTTTTTTTTTTTTGAGGGGAGGATAGAGGAAGGGGTCACTATTGACAGTGCTCAGGGATTACTCCTGGCAGGTTTGGGGGACCATATGGATGCCAGGAATCAAACCTGGGCTGACAGCATGCAAGGTGAGTGCCCTACCCACTGTACTATTGTATCGTTCCAGAAACTACTTTTGTTGATGAACATCATGAAGTCTATAGAGATGTTTATATATAAACCTGAAACCTACTTACTATTATAAATCAATGGTACTTTAGGAAAGATTATTAGGAAATACATCAGAAAAAACCTGAAACTCAAACTCTTGTAAAGCAAAAGGCAAGTATTCAATTTTAGCACTTGTCCCTGCTTGATTTCCTTGATCTCCCTGCAAAGAATTTAAAAAAAAGGAAAACAAAATCAGATAAGAAAACAAAATTTTAGTAACATCTGCTTCTACCTCAGCAAGAATGTTCCAAAATGCAAGGTCCCTTGAAGCTACTCTGGCCAGAGGCTTTCATGAACTTGAAAAAGGAAAGTTAGAAAAGCCTCAGGTACAAAGAGTGATGAGGGCTGTTTGGAATTATGTGTGCAAAATGGGAGCTGGCACCCCAAGGGGTTGGCCAGCAGCAGTGTCCTACCCGGACTCTTCAGATTCATGGAGGGGGGTTCTCTTATCTAGGATGGTTCTACCCATACAGAGGTCCACTGTTAGCTGATATCTTCTGACTAATAAACATCAGCATTGCTCTGGGCATCTTAGTATAACAGCTTTGCGTGGCATATAATGACATTTGTTAGTCATGTTTGATGATTAAAATCTTGCTCTTTAACAACATGACTGATCCTGCAGGTCTAGCATTGGACTGGTAAGATTTCCAGGGAAATTAAAAGGGAATAAAAAAGAAGAGCATGTCTATGATATAACAAATGAAATGTCTCAGAACTCAAGTGGCACCTAAGTAATCAGACTGAAGTGACCCATAGGAAACTAAAGGGGCTAGAAAACATGGAGAGGCCACATATGAAGGAAAGAGAATTTGGAGGTCTTCAGGTTTCTGGAGTCATACAGAGAGGCTGGCATGTCTTCGAATTTCCAGGGGGCAATTATTATTCCAGTTCCTTCTCAGCAGGACCATGGATAGCAGGGATCATCGGGTTGCTTTGATGTGTGGAACTGAGCTCACGGCCATGGCCTCAGGCTTGCTCTGAGTACCTGCAAAGCCATTGAGTCATCATCCTCCAAGGCTCTTCTTGCCAGGAAGGGTAGCACTGTCAGGATGGTGAGCTTGGAAATCACAACCTTGCATTTGCAGGGCACCTTCCAAACCCCGAAGGGCACTGACTAATCTAGGTTTCTATAGTCAGCTAAACTATCAAGTGAGGATGGTAGCAGAATAACATTTTCCCCAGGCATTCAAGAATTAAAGTTTCCTTCATATAGAGGCTTTCTGAGGATGTTATTTAGCAAAAGAAGAGTGGAAAGGACTAATGGAACACAAGTGATACTTTAAAAAAATTCCTGTTAATAACTATGCAGGAGGTGACTGATCTGAGTTAGCAAAGAAGCTAATGACTCTGAGAAAAAAGTCTTCAGGGAGATAAAAAAAAATTAGCTACCAATTAAAAAAAGAACTAGAAACTTTGGCAGGATGTGGGTGGGGATAAAAAAACTGTTCAAGAGTTAAGTCAAAGACTGGGGAAGGGGAGGTGGCATGATAGAAGAGCACATTCCTCAAAGGGATGAAGACTCAGGTTCAATACCTGGCATGAAAATGAAATAGCCAGGGAGTATGGTGCCACCAGCAGGTCAATCTGTACCTGTGAGGTGAGTACATCAGCAGCCTGATGGCAACGTCAGACTTTCAGATACCCCAAAATTGCTGCTGTGCCTTTGGCCAGACCCCAAAAACTTGGGGCAAAGTTTACCAAGAAAGTAAACAGCCAAAAGTTAGGTATGTGGGAGACACAAACCACCTCCAGCTCACCTATATAATTGGAGGCATGGCCTCTCTGGTTCCTGATCAAACTGCTTAATGACCATGATCCCAGAGACTCAGAAACGAATCTTGGAACCCAAAGGCTTTTGGCAGAAATGCGTCCTGTTCCTGCAGTAGGTTACTGGCACTGGGTCACTCGAGGTGGGAATAGGTTTCGTGCCTTGGCCTGTTCCCCCTGGCGGCCTGGTGACCACCATCCTCCAGAGGCCACTGGACAGTCAGGTTTGGGCCTGCAGTGACGAGACACACGGGGCCTCACCACATGGGCGTGGAGCCGACTCTTTCTCCCCATCCCAACGAGACCCCGAGTCGCCGCCTACAAACGGCCTCTCTGGCTCCTGATCAAGCTGATTAATAGCCATGATACCGGAGACTCAGAAACAAATCTTGAAACCCAGCGGCTTTTGGCAGAAATGCATCTGGACTGCATACAAGGTAGCCGCCAGCTCAGAGCTTATTGGAAAGCCAGGTATGTGCTGGTGGTGACAGGGCAACTGCAGTCTCATGGGAAGGAGGGTGGTGCCAGCTCGTCCTTCACGCCCTACCGAGGTCACGAGTTGCCCCCCACAAGCGGCTCTCTAGCACGGCTATGGCTCCAGAGGCAAAAGGACTTAATCCAGAGCCCGGAAGCTTGCAGCAGAAAAGTGAATGGACCATGCGTTAAACTACAGCGCCATGCCTCCCCGGGAGGGAAAAGGTGTTGCTCCCTTCTGCCTTTCCCCTCCCTGGCAGCAAGGTGGCTCCACCTCAGAGCGTATTGGAAAGCCAGGTAGAGCCGGCGGTGACAGGGCAACTGCAGTCTCATGGGAAGTGGGGCGATACTGGCATGTCCTTCACACCCTACTGAGGTCACGAGTTACCTCCCACGAGCGGCTCTCCGACACGGCCATAACACCAGACATACAGAAACCAATCTCGTAATTATCTGGCTCTTTGCAGAAATCCAAAATCGTGGCCGCATGACATTATATGATTCTCATAACCAGCTATAGAAAACAAAATATATCACAATGCCTTTTCAGCAATTCTGATTGTTTGGGGGGAAATTCTAGACAATAATGGTGCATCTTTTGTCGAAATAATGAATGTAATCAATGTAGAGAAGAGTTAAGTAGAAATCATCTGCCTCACAGGCATTTGGAGGGGTGGAAGGGGGGGTATACTGGGGTCCTTGGTGGTGAAAAATGAGTACTGGTGAAGGGAAAGGTGTTTGATCATTGTATGACTGAGACTTAAGCCTGAAAGCTTAGTAACTTTTCCCACAGTGATTCAATAAATAAATATAAAAAGAAAATAAATAAAATTTAAAAAAATAAGGTGGAGTTCATGCCCAATTCAATCAGCTAATCAGTGTCTGAATAAATAGCAGTACTCCTACAAAAAAAAAGAAAAGAAAATAGCCAATTATGAAAGATGCTAAAATGATATTTACTGGTGAGAAACTGAGGGGCAGTAAGGAAAGAGAATCCACCTGACACAGGCCTCTCGGACTATTTAGGAAGAGTCAGACCAACAGTGGTAACATGTGACTCCTTAAAACACTGGCCCTTCAGCGTATCACATGTACTTAAATGTGATTCTCAATCATGATAGTGTAGAAGTAAGACAACTCACAGATGCTCCTGCTTGTCACCCTCCAGTGGCTTCTGGCCTCTGCCAGGCTGCCCTCCTACCCATTGAACAATCATGCTGTGATTAAAAACTTAAAAAGGAAAACTTCAGTGGGTAAAACTTCAGTGGGTAAGGTCTTGCATGTGGCCAACCCAAGTTTGATTCCCAATATGGTCTCCCAAGCACTGTCAGGACTCATCCCTGAGAGCAGAGCCAGAAGTTAGCCTAGAGCACCACTGGGTGTAACTGCCCACCCCCCATACACGCAAAAGAGGGGAAACTTCAAATAGATACTATAGCAAGCCAGATGCTATAGCAAAAACAACAATCACATTGTGAGGATTTATCTCAAATATTCTCATAGCTCTAAAAACTCAAAGGGAAATAAGATTCACGATTCCCACCACCTTAGCACACCACAATGGCAATGGACTTGAGTTTGAGCAGTACTAGAAAAAAGTGAGAAGTGCAGAACTCGTTTCAATTGTTCCCCAACTTAGAGCATGCCTAAATACACAGACAAACACACACAGGCACACTCTCAGAAACCTTCTTGATGTTCCAGGTACTGGGTAACCCAGCTGTACCAAGTAAGTCTTTACCTGATATATCACAGTAAACAGTCTGTTGATAGAGCCTGGCTTCCCGGGGGTTAAAGTACACAATGATTTCAGCTGATGTGTTGGGCCAGACATCACCTTCCTGAAAAACAGCAAAGAATCATTTTAAAACATGGGGCAAAGTGAGAAAAGACACGGTTTTCAAATATTAAAATGATATCATCACTTAAGAAAATTTGAAAAACTGATTTTTTTTGGGGGGCCACACCTATTGGAATAAGGTGGGTGCCCTGGGAGCCACTCTTGGTGGTGCTGACCCTAGCCACTGGGGGCCTGATGGTTTGGTGCTCATGCCTAGCAGAGCAGTGCTAGGAGCCACTGGGACAGTTGCTCAGGGGCCACTAGGGTGACACCCTGAGGTGCCGGGAGTGAAAGCAGGAGGCATCAGGGATCAAACCAGGACTGTGCTCTACCACTGAACCGTCTTCCTGAACTTCTATGAAAATAATTTTACAGCAAATCAAAGAAAGCACTCTTTCACCTAACACAGTAAATGGCACCCCTTGTTAAGAGGTAATACATATTGAAAATAAGCCCCAAAGATCATTTCAGTGAGTTAGTGAGTTTACAAATAGCTACTAAAGCATACTTTGGGGAATAAAATGTTTTGTGTATTCAGTAAAAATCTTCTTTTATGTCCAATGTGTGCCCAGCACTGGGTTCCAGAGATGAAGAAATGTGTGATCTGAGCTTTAGAGGGATGATGAATATGGGCAATATTTCTAATACACATGATAAGGGCACTACATGAAGGACAACCATGCAAGCAAGCCGGTTTCTGAAAAGGATTCAGCACTATTGACCATATCCACATGATAACCAAGCTCATTGTGGTTTCTCGGGAGTTCAAGATGCCGCTCTGCTTAACATTCATTGATTTAAAGAAGGCCTTTGATTCTGTTGAGACAGAAGCAGTCATTGAAGGCCTAGCCAATCAGGGCATTCAAACTCAATACATCAGGATCCTCCGTGAGCTGCATTACGGATTCACTACCAGGATCTCACCATTCTACAGGGAGGTGATCATCAATGTCAAGAGAGGGGTTTGGCAGGGTGATACCATTTCACCCAAACCCTTCAGTGCCACCCTCGAGAACGTCATGCGACGACTAGAATGGGAAGGAATGGGAGTGAAGATAGATGGTCGGCAACTACACCACCTCCGCTTTGCTGATGACATTGTTTTAATAACACCAAATATTAGCCAAGCGGCACAAATGCAGGCCAACTTCGACTGTGAGTGTGGAAAGGTAGGACTACAGCTGAATCTCACAAAGACAATGTTTATGAGAAAACGGTCTTGTTCCTGACGTTCCATTCACTCTCAATGGGACAAACATCTCCGAATGCAACAGTTATGTGTTCCTAGGCCGAGAAGTCAACATGACAAATGACCTGGCACCTGAGTTGCGCAGGAGGAAGAGAGTGGCTTGGAATGCCTTCAAGAGTGTCGAAGAAATAGCTAAGAGGACAAAGAACCTCTGGCTCAGGGCACATCTCTTAGATTCCACTGTTCTTCCTGCATTAACATACACCTCAGAGACCTGGGCCCTACAAAAACAGGATGAAAACACTATTCAGGTCTCCCAAAGAGGAATTGAAAGAGTTATGCTTGGAGTATCACGTTTCACTCAAATGAGAGAAAGAATCTGGAGTTCCCACCTCTGTCAGGGATGCTGTCTCGTTTGCCAAGACATCGAAAATCAGATGGGCTAGACATGTAATGAGATTTGGAGATGACCGTTGGAGTAGAGCTGTTACCGACTGGATTCCATGGGATGTCAAAAGACTGCATGGCCACCCACCTACCAGATGGTCAGGCTTCTTTGTCAAGACCCTGAATGATTGGTTTGAGGCTCTTCGTGTTCCTAGAATGAACAGACGCCATTGGGCTACACTAGCACGTGGCAGGGACAAATGGAGACGTCACTGGCGCCCACTTGAGCAAACCGATGATTAATGGAAAGTCAAGTGATCAAGTGATGATAAGTCCTGAGCCTATATGAAGAGTGCAGATGGACCCCAAGAAAAAAGAACCTGATTTCCTGGGTTGGGTAGGGGGCATATTTCAAAGTCCTGTGGTGAAGCATAAGGAAATATTCTGATTTGGTGAAAACATAGCAATAGCCTCAGAGGCAGAACAATGGGTTGGATCAAGTTCTGATTCTCAGGAAATACGAAATTTCTCATTTAAATCCTAAGCCCTGGAAGCAGAGTAAGGAAAGTGAGTTTCTAAATTGTAATGCAACATAACACAGGTCAGACTCCCCTGGAGGTGAATATTCTTGAAGAAAAGATCTTCTTCCTCACCATGCGCCTTGGGACCTCTTCGTTAAATTCCATGAGTCGTACAGGAAGATGCTGACCCACCTGACTCAAAGGGCTCCCTGAAGGACACACAAGGCCATCCTGGGCAAGTGCTTTGTCTCAGTGGATATAGTCAGAATCAGTAAATAATTGTTTGACTGTGGTTGATGTTATTTCTAAGATACTTTGAAAGGCTCAATGCCTCTCTTGCAAAACACAGTATCCAAAAGAAGAGAGAGAGAACAAGGGGGAATGCCCTGCCACAGAGGCGGGGTGGGACGGGGGAGATGGGGGGTGGGAGGGATGCTGGGACCCATGGTGGTGGAGGATGGGCACTGGTGGAGGGATGGGTACTTGATCATTGTATAACTGAAACCCAAGCACAAAAATTTATAAGTCTATAACTGTACCTCATGGTGTTTCACTAATAAAAAAATTTAAAAAAATAAAAAAAATTTTCAAAAAAGTATTGAAAAGTTAGGAGTGGGGGAGAGTGTGTGTCTCCCCCAGTTCTTGAACACAGGACTCAACTGTGCATATGCAACAGAAACACCCCCAATTCTATAAATGATCCCGCCAGCTAAATAAAAAAAAAGGAGGAAAGACAACATTACAAAGGATGAGGGTTCATTTTCAGACCAACACCAGTGCATATTCTATTTTCAATTTGGCTTAAAATGATGATAGTGCTGAAATGAAAAATCAAGCAGAGAAAGCAGAGTGGTTTCAACTGTAGAGAGCAAACAAGAAGGAGAAAATGGACAACTCATGCCAGTTCTGGGTACCGCTCAAGGGGTGGGCGACTCTGGCAACATCTCCATCTCCCTCAGAATGACAATGGGCTCTCAGATTCCTGAGAGGTAGCAGATACACCCCCGCCCTGCTGGCCTGCTGCAACGAAAGCTCTTTGGGGGCACAGTTTTAACAGTTCTGTGCCCAGAACCTAAACCAGAGGTGACACAGGGTAAGTGAGTGCTCATGAGGCTCACTGGCTGGCCCAGAGGTCATGGAACTTTAGAGCTGAGGGGACGCGGGAGGCCACGCAGGGCTAAGCATTGCATTATGCTCTTTTAGAAACCCTCAAGCAAAGATCTATTCCTGTTTGAGGAGCAGCCAATATCTGGCAGTGCAGGTTGGGTGAAGCTGAGCATTAGCAATGCTCAGGGCTAGAACCGGCCAAAGGGTCAGGCAGAGGAGGGCCGTGGACACTCTCTGGGCATTCCTTAGACCTACTGACAACCAGGAGCCAAATGTGGACCACATTAGGGTTCATACTCTGCTCTGCCCAGGGCCAAGAATGGACACAGCTTACCCGTTCCTAGCCAAACTGACTGGCCACAGGGGCTGTGCCTGGTCGGAGGAAACCTGTGCTAAAGAAGTCTCTGGCCTGTCAGGAAGGGGCCCCAGCCCCAGGATACAGAGGCCAAGGCCATCGGCTGCAAGTGTCAGGGCTGCATGAGAGCACAGGTTCATCTGAGGCCTGAAGTTCTGTCAGGGATGGGGATGTGGGGGGATCCCTTTATACCCCAGCAACGGGAGGCCCATGATTAGAGCTGCTGTCTGGGAAACAGAGAGAGAGGTGGCTGCCGGGGACAGCCGACTCCCCAGAGGACAGAATGTGGCCTTCCAGTGCAATCCCTGAGAATATCACTGCCTGTAGGGGCTCTCTGAAGGAGGTGAGCCTGCTGCTTGGCGAGGAAAGGCCAGCAAGGCCCAGGGTTGTGGGAGCAGCGCTACTGATTCCTGCCCCGGCTGCGACAGCAGCCAGTGACCTGCAGCTTCAGGCTAGCCGGGAAGCCGCTGAAGGCGGCAGCTCATCCTGAACAGTAGGCGATGTGCGTATCTGTCAGAGCCAGAGCGGGGCCATCCGCTCCCTCCCCAGTGCTGAAGGCGGAGGACATGTAGCTGGCGGCTAGTTCACAGTGGGAATGGAAGTCAAAGAACTTCTCTTCCTTTATAGCAAAAACTCGGGGAGCATTTTCCTGGCAAATCAGAGAGAGAGCAGACCCTCCGAGCAGACGACAAGCCTACAGTGACCCCACTTTTCTTTCTCTATCTTTTGAAACATTTTTATATTACTTCTCCAATACTTCCAAAATTAACTTCTGTGCCATTTAGGCCTATGAAGAGGATTCTTCTTTCTTTATTGCTCAGTTCGAAAGTGTTCCCAGACCCAAACATCCTGCATTTTCCCTGCTGTTCTGCCCCCTGCATCCCTCCTCTCCCGTCTGATGCCGCCTCGTCACACATTACCCTGGCTTCCACTCTCCCTGAGGTAGCACCTCTCTCCCAGCCCTGTCAATTTCCTGCTCCAAACAGGAGCCTGAGTGCCTGGGATATAATCTACGTGATTATTATCTTGTTTGTTGAAAGTAATTGTTCAAATGGCCTTCGGTTATACTGTTATTATCTTTCTCCTAATGTTCTGTTTCCCCCTCAGATCCATAACTGCTTTTCACTCATTAGAGAAGTGCCCGCTTCAAGGAATCAACTGAATGATCTGATCTCGGGCTCTCATATTGCGGCTTCTGTCCAAATATTAGGTATCTGGAAATAGAACCACAAGCTTCCTTCTGGAACAAGAATAAACCACCAAGCAACAGAGGGGCCCTGCCTACAAATTCCTATCTCTTTGTTTCCTCCCGTTACCTTTCTTGCTCCCAGTCAATGGTTATTTCTGGAAAAATTTCAAAATCCAAATCTAAAGTGTGAGACCTTAGAGTTACATGCATGTTTGATTTACTTTATCTGGAAAATAGCTTAATCCAACCAAAC